CCGATATTAAGGGCTCAAGTAGAAGGCAAATGTTTTGAGAATGATGACGGCAACAAATGTACATATGTGCTCGACACAATGGATGTATATGCGTTGTGATTAGAATTGTACGAGCCCCCAATAAAATGATTTTTAAAAAAGAATTAGCTGTCTTAACATTGACACTGCAGCCGCTAACATAGACCTTAAGCGCCTGAATGAGTGAGTCCCCTTTTAGAATGACCTAAAGCAGTAATCGTAGGAGCCCAGGTGGCACAGTAGGTAAGCACTGAGCTGCTAAAGAAGAGGCCAGCAGTTGGAACCCAGGAGCTGTTCCACAGGAGAAAAGTGGCAGTTTACATCTATAAATAGTTACAGCATTTAAAACCCTGAGGGGTCATTTTACTCCATTCTCTAGAGTCGCTGAGTCAGAACTGACTTAATGGCAATGAGGTTTGGGGAGGAGCAAAAATAGGATTTTTATTTTAATGCTGCTACCAAGTACATAGTGTATTGTATAAGCTCACACCACTGGTAAATAAATAAATAAACAGACAAATTTTTAAGCACCATGTTTCAGCTAGCCACTTGGTGGCAGACATTAGGAATAGCATTTCTTTCCCCCCACCCCTGACCCTTGGCTTTCAGAGAACTTGTGAGGTTTTGTTAGCAATACAGGCATATCTCAGAGCTATTTCGGATTCGGATCCAGACCACAGCAGCAAAAGGAATGTTGCAGTAAAACAGGTCGCATGATGGTTCTTTTGGTGGTGGTGTTACCTAGTACATACACAATTTCGGTTCATACGACATGCAGTCTACTAAGTGAGCAGTGAAAAAGTTGGAACTATGGCACAGAGTGAGCACACACTGTACATACATCATTTGCCACCAGCCTTCATTTTGTTAAAAGTCTGGTATCGGCTGCAGAGGTAATAAAGCAAAGCAGCGTAAAATGAGGTCCGCCTGGATTGCTGGGGCCTCCTTAGGAGTGAAACTCAGACCACATTCCGAAGCTTGTCTCCCAAGAACTCCTCATACTGCAGCTGTTTCCCTGAATTGCAAGCCAGGTCCTTTCTTACTAAATAGCAAAAACAGGAGGAGGCTGACTAAATCTAGGTATGAAATTGAGCAAATAAAGAGAAGAAAGGCATTTGAGAAGATGCTAAAGAGTAAGCCACATGACCTTCTTTGGGCTTTAAAGCCTAAGTCTTTTTACTGCCTCACTCTACAGACACAAAGCTGTTGAAAAAGTGAGATAAGTAATTGACCTCGAAAGTGTTTTATACAGCCCTTGAGAAAAGACCAGAAAAGACTACTGACAGAAATTCTCTTCTTTTGGCATAAATAGGGTCTTAAAAATAAAAAAGACAATATAGATCAACTATTGGTATTTCTACCTCTTATATACCACTCCCCCAAAAATTATACTTTGAAAGAATAGTGTTCCCGTTCTTCTGCCTTTTTAATTGAGATATAGTTCACATATGGTAACATTTGCTCTTTCAAAGTGGTTTTTAGTATGTTCACAAGATTGTGAAACCATCGCCACTGTCTCATTCCAGAATGTTTTTATTTCCCCCAAAAGAAGCCCTGTACCCATTAAACTGTTACTCCCGGCCCCTGGCAATAGTACTGTTTGTCTTTGTGGGCTAGCCTGTTTGGGGTAGCAGCATGTAATTGTGGTCATCTGTGTTTGTTCCTCTTTCACTTAGCATGTTTTTTCAAGTCTGTGTTGTCGCATTTCATGTGTTCGGTGTCCATGGCCTTTTTATGGGTGGGTGAATAATACTTCATTGTATGGATAGCCATCGTTAACCAGTTTATGCTGATGGGTATTGAGGGTGTTTCTACTTTTTTAGCTAATATAACTAATGCTATTATGAATTTCCCATGTTTTTGTGTAGACATAAGTTTTCATGTCTCTTGGATAAATATCTTAGAATTTAGGTTGGGTCCTATGGGAACTCTCAGTTTAGCTTTTTGAGAAACTGCCAAACTGTTTTCGAAAGCAGCTGTACCATTTTACATCCCCGCTCACGGAATGTGAGGCTTCCAGGGTCTCCACGGCTCTCCAACCCTGGTTACTTTCCCCTTTTTTATCTTAGTGGATATAAGTGCTATCTTGTGATCCTGAGCCCTTGGCTCTTAAGCCACGTGATTTCTGAATCCAGAAAGACAATATCATGTGGTAAAAGGAAGACTAAATTTGAAAATAAGAAAGCCTGTATTTTTTGGTTTTTTTAACCATATTTAACTCCTTAAAGCTTATGTGACCTATATACTCGAGTATAAGCTGACCCAAACATCAGCTGAGGCTCCTAATTTTACCACAAAAACTGCATTAAAAATGTGCTGAAACAATGGATGGATGGATGGATGGATGGATGGATGGATGGATGGATGGATGGATGAATGAATTGTGATAAGCGTTGTATGAGCCCCCAATAAAATGATTTTTTTTAATGTGCTGAGAAACTCAGCTTACACATGAGTATATACGGTACTTCCTTGTTTGGTTTCCTATCCAAACTGTAGGAATGTCTGCACTGATTGCTCTGTGGAGACTTCCAAGACACTCGGATCCTCACTTAGCGATTCCGGAAATCATTCGGATGTCACAGCATGCTCACTCATGACAAAGCAATGCAGCTCGTTGGTTGCTGACTCATGGTGACATCATGTGTGTGATTTTGGGGTTGGTTTCTGACTCATGGTGACATCATGTGTGTGATTTTGGGGTTGGTTGCTGACTCATGGTGACATCATGTGTGTGATTTTCAAGCCCGTGACCTTTCAGGAGCAGATCACAGGCCTTATTTCTGATGACCCCCTGGGTGGCTTGAGTGGCCAGCCTTCTGTTTAGTAGTCCAGCACTCAATCACTTGTTCTCCCCAAGGGCTCCTAGGGGGGCGGGCGGGGAACTGCCTGCCATCAGTCAGTTCTGACTCATGATGACCCTATTCACTTTAGGCCTCTGCCATTCTTTTCTCCCTCTTTAACATGTTTTTTTAAAATCCGGTAAACCTAAGAAGTCTGTGAACAGAGAGAAAACCAGCCCTTTCTTTTCTCCAGCAGTTGTCTCTCACTGCACATGCTTTTGGGAGATGATACCATACAGTATTCCTCTCATTCTAAGTGGCCCAAGAATCATCTTCATGACCCTGAGACCAGAAGAACGAGGAGGTGCTCGACCACTCTGAAATGGATCATAATGAAGGATCCTGGATAGGATGGGAGAAAAAAATGTGGAAAACTGAAAATCATAAGAAAAATGTTTTACAGAAAAGTGGGTGAAGGGAGAAGTCGGACAGTGTAAGACATGACAAAATAACAATTTATAAATGATCAAGGGTTCATGGTAGAAGGAGGGGGAAAATGAGGAGCTGATACCAAGGGCTCAAGTATAAAGCAGATGTTTTGAGGAGGAAGATGGCAACAAATGTACAAATGTGCTTGACACAATGGATGTGTGTATGGATTGTGATAAGAGTTGTACGAGCCCCCAATAAAATGATTTAAAACCCCAAAAAAGTTTTTAAAGACCAGGCTTACTGGTCTGATAGAGACTGGTGGAACCCCCAACACTATGGCCTTTAGTCACCCTTCAAGCCTGGAACTGAGGTCACCCCCATGGTTCAACTCTCAGCCAAACTAGAGGCAGGTGTAGGAAGTCAGCAGCAATACCAGAGAGGTACACACACCTTAGAACAATCGGGTGTGAGCTCAAAGGGCAACATTTGCCAAGGGGTAAAACTCAGAAGGCAGGAATGGATCAGAAGAAAGGATGAATGCAAATGGTGCTTACATTGTAGGGTCTACAATCAATACCATAAAACTGTGTATAAATTGTTGAGTAGAAAACCAGTATGCTCTGTAAGCATTCAAATCACAATAAAAGGGTTAAAAAAAGGAAAAAGGAAAAAATTAGTCTGAAAGATTTGGTGAGATCTTAAATTTTACCTTTGGAAACAAAACTTAGGAAGTAGTTTATCTTTTAGTGCTTTGAACACTGTTAAGGGCTATTTTTAAGTGTTTGTTAAATCTAGCTATGTGTGCAGACATAAACATTTTGGTTTTTATAATTCCTTTGTGACAGATCTCCAAGATTTATTCCAAAAGACTGACCAGGACATGGATGGGAAGCTGACCTACCAGGAAATCTGGGACTCCTTAGGTTCTGCTGGGCCAGAACCAACGAGCTTGAGAGTGTTTGATTCTGATGGAGATGGAAGATACTCGTTCCTGGAGCTCAGAGTGGCTGTAGGTCTCTAGCCTTCTCAGGCATGTTTTGAAAGTGAATATATGCACTGGACTACCTACGAACCTACGAACCTATCAAAACCAGCCCTTTCCCTTACCCCGTCAACGTAGCCCTCTGTGGCAGACACATTGCCACCTTCTCACTGGTTTGAAGAAGCTATATAAAAGTTATTTTTTAAAAAAACAGCCCACTTATACTATGATATTCAGAAGCTTCTGATTTCCTGAAACCAGAAAAATCTTACCTTTTAAAATTTCCAGAAAAAAAGGAAAGCCCCCCTTTTTGTCGCCTTTTATTTTCTTTCTGAGAAGACACCTTATCTTTTAAAAATGTATATAGAGAGAGACTAAGCCACCTTTTATATTTCACATAAATTTGCCTTAAATTAGCTGCACTTTATAGAGACTCAGAAAATGTCTTTTCTTTAAAAGATGGGCCTTTTCTGTTTGTAAATAGTTTAAATAAGAATTGTGCATATTTTGTGGGAAGTGAGAAGAGAGGTTTTAAAGGATCTGAAGAAATGGCTTGCTACTAAGACTCCCTAATCTGCTCTAGGTAGCTGCTGAAGTTATGCCCTCATCTCCTTCAGGCATCCCTGGAAGGCCTAGCTGCTGCCCTGGAATATAGCCTGGTGCCTCCGGGAGTCCGTTTGGGGAGTGGACACTGTGTGGACTGTGCCAACTCCGAACTCCGCAGAGTAGGATCCTGATTCCCCCTATTCCCTCAGCTAATCTCAGTGTACGTATCAGAGGTGTCTCATTGAGATGCTTACTCCTCCCTGTCCCTACACCTGCCCATTCTTAGCCGAATGTCAGCGTGTATGAGCATAAAAGGTCCAGAGGGAGCTACTTGGCCCCACTTGGTGATCCGTTTTAGAGCTGTAGCTGGCTCCTACTTCTGCTCTCCCCTCAGTCTCCATTCTGAGTGGCCAGGTCTAGTCCCCGCCTTACTCTCTCAGCCCAGCCAGCGGGAGCTTCCAAGGGGAGCTATGCTTCTAACCTTGACTTGATGCAGGAAATTTCACCCCTTAAGATTTTTACCTTACAGTTATCCAAGAAGCCAGTATTTTTCTCTCTGGGCTGACCAAAGCAAAAAAGGAAGGTGGTGAAATGAAACAAAACAAACCACACATAAGCTCAGAGTCTGTTTCCTGGCCATTTTCAGCTCTGAAGTAGCTAAAGGCTTGCTGTCTACAAGATGCCAAAGCCCTTCTTTCCCAAAGCAGGCAGCCTGGAGCCAGGACGTTCATGATGGTAGCAAGTGTCCACTAACCTGTTACAAGGAAGTGCAGTGTCTCTCTGAAAAACTCCTAGGGCTGCTGCTGGATGGTGCAGGGGCTGGAAGGAGTAATACATTCGTGTCTCCTGTTTATTGAGCTTGGGTTTGTGTCTGGTTTCTAGAAGAATGCCTTTAGGCAACACAAAAAGGGCGGGGGAGCAAACCACAAAACTCAACTTTGCCGCAGCCCAGGTGAGGGAGAAACGAGGTGCTTTCAGGGCACCTGCTATAATAGAGCTCATTTCCATTTTTGCTTTCTAAGGTGCCCTGTCAGAGCTGTGGGTGCCACCCAGCACCCTTAAAAGTTTAAGAGCTATATGATGGCCCACCTGGTGTTGGCTAACTGAATTTTTCTTTTCAAGAAGTATTAAATTTTAATTAATGCAAAGTGAAGGGTTTTGTTTGTTTGTTTTTAACCATGAATGTGTCAGCTTACCTCATTATGGCTTATGCCTCTCAATTAAAAAAAGAAATCCTTGCCCATCTGAGCTAGTGCACTTTCTTAGAAAAGTTAAAATATAGTATGAAATTTGCTTGCTGCTTCAGGTGACTTGAAGACAACTCTTGCTGGCTGCCTTCCATGCCCCCTCTTTTCATGTTTTAATATATATGCACCCTTACAGATTTTGTAACAACCAAATAAAATTCTAGCAATAAATTGAATTATATTACTATATTTGTATATACTGTACCATAAATAGTGTGCCTGTATCTGGAAGGTATTTTTTTTGAAAACAGATTTATATGAAATATACTTGAGGGTAATGTAGCTTGTCCTTTTTAGTTTCAAATTCTTATTCATAGGCAGATGCTTTGAGGACACCTTAACTCTTTGTGGCATGAACTTTTCTTTCGCATCAGGTAGCTAGAAATGGAGAGGCCTTACTGAAGACAGGTTTTTTGGAGTGTATCTTATGTTCTTCCTACGTTCAACTTGTTGAGCTAACATCCCTGAGCCAGCTGTGCCATGCTGTCCCCTCGCCCTACCCAGTCTGCTAAAAATGTTCCGGCTGCACTCCGGGCCTGTGAAGGCCCTCCCATACTGCTTGAGGAAGTACCAGGCAAAATTGGGACAGCTTGGACCCCTTTGTCCAAGTTTAGCAGGCTGACCGCCTGAAGAGCCCCCTATGCTTCAGTGTTTGATTTGGGCTTTTCTTTGCCTGTCATTTTAACCTCACCTACCACATGCCTCAGCTCTCAGAGCAAAGGTGGGTGGTGGTGGTGGGTTTGATCTTGCATCTCGTTTTCCTTTGAACTGTAGGAGGATGCAGTGCTGCTTTCCTAAGTTATCCAAAGCCTAGTCCCTGCGTGCCCCCCACCCCCGTGCTTTTTTCCTTTTGCCTTGTACTGCCTACCATTGCTTTTATTTAAAGCACCTTCCCATAAAGCAGGTAGAGGCAAAAGGTGGTGTCCGAAGAGAAGAGCCAAAAGAAGAGAGTGCGTGATGGCAGTGTCATCCGAAGGGCAGAGCGGAGTGGGTGCCCTAGAACAGCTGGAGAGCAGACCCCTTCACCTGCCACTGGGAGGCTGTTCTCCCCATTGGAGTTGCGGGCGGAACCGCCTTGCTGGTCCTGCTGGTCACAGTTGAAGATTTTGACTCGAATGGGCTTGTACTCATAATGGCTTGCTGTTGAGTTGTTTTCAGTGACAGAGTTTGTTTGCTACACACCTCATTGGCTTGCTTACCAAGGCCAGCTAGATGGGCTCCCTTCTTTCATACCCAAACCACAACACAATTGGGTATTCCTGAGACTTTATAGAGCGTGTATTGTTTGTTATACGAACCTAGCCTACCTTGTTGTTTTCTCATATTAAGAAATGTAAATCTACTTTATTCTAGCGGAGCTATTTTTTGGTAATGTATAAGCAATTTTAGTTCTCTTTAGGGACTGACATCCATGACTTGATTTGAGCTTTGCTTATTTCATATCAGTAATACAGCCATTTTAATTTATCTAAATAAAGCATTTCCCCTTTCTCTCTCACTGTGTCTATGAATAAAACCCTCTCCCCAGACTACTAAAGTTAAAAAATAAAAAATCTATAGAGTCCTTCCTCCTCTTGAAAGCCGAGACTTGCAGGTCTGTCTAAATAAGATAGGTGGATGAACAATCTGGAGGAGAAAACAATGGGACCAACAGTTCTGGGGTGACATGGGAGAGGGGGAGGTAGGGGGAAAGGTAGTGGTATTAACAAACCCAGGGACAAGTGAACAAGTGATCCAAATTGGTAGTGAGGAGGGTGTAGGAGGCCTGGTAGGGCGTGGCCAAGGTTAATGTAGAGGAATTACTGAAACCCTAATGAAGGCTGAACATGATAGTGGGACAAGAGGAAAGTAAAAGGAAATAGAGGAAAGAGCTAGGAGGTAAGGGGCATTTATAGAGGTCTAAATAAAGGCATGCACATATGTAAATATATATATGAGGATGTGGACATAGATTTATATGCATATATGTGTAGATTTAGTATTAAGGGAACAGATGGACATTGGGCCTCCACTCAAGTACTCCCTCAATGCAAGAATACTTTGTTCTATTAAACTGGCATTCCATGATGCTCACCTTCC